GTTGTTATGGAGGCGTGGTCAGAGAGTTTGGATTTTACGGAGGCGACCTCACGTTTCTCGAACCTAGCTAAGGAGTGGAATTATCATGTGTTCGGGAATGCATTTAAATGGAAAAAGCGTTTACTGGCCCGAATCTTGGGCGTTCAACGAGCTTTGCAAAGTCGGGTCATTGTCCGCTTGTTGTCCCTTGAACGTAAGCTTGGTGCCGAGTTATAAGAGGTATCCATGCAGAAAGAAGTCCTCTTGATCCAAAAGTCGCAAAGAGATTGGTCCTTGTTTGGTGATAAGAACACGACATTTTTCCACCGGAAGATCAGAGCGCAACGTCAGAAAAATAAAATTGTGGGCCTCTTCGATAATGAGGGCCAGTGGTGTCAGGATCAACTTACTATTCGTAGCCTGGCAGTCGACTTTTTCAAGGGCATTTATTCAGCGACTCCACGACTTTCTCATCCTGCCCAAATTTTGAGCTGTTTTCCCACTTTACCGCGCGATCAACTTGCGCCTTTGGCTAGAGACATTGCGGCAGTTGAAATCTCGTTTGCTCTACGGTCCATGCAGCCTTTGAAGTCCCCGGGGTTAGATGGGCTTCATGCGATTTTTTTTCAACAAAAATGGGATACTGTGGGCGAATCGGTTAGCCGTCTGGTGCGTGGCATTTTGCAGGATGGCTTCATGCCACCTAATGTGAATCGAACTTTAATTGTGCTCATCCCGAAGATGGATAATCCCCAAAATATAGCGCAGTTCAGACCGATTAGCCTTCTTAACGCGCTGTACAAGTTGGCGACGTAGATCCTCGCTAACAGAATTAAACCCTTGTTGCCGCATCTTGTGGGGCCTGCTCAAGTGAGTTTCGTGTCCGACCGGCAGATTACTGATAATATTGTCATTGCTTAAGAGTTAGTGCACCTCATGAGAACTAAACAGGGTCGGACGGGATATTTTTTGGTGAAGGTGGATTTAGAGAAGGCCTACGATTATCTTCGGTGGGACTTTATTGAAGAATCACTTCGGCTAGCTGGGTTCCTGGATATGTTTGTACGTGGGGTTATGACTTGTATCACTTCGGTTTCATGCATCTTAATTTCAATGGCACCGTCTCAGAGGAATTCATCCCATCGCGTGGTGTGCGCCAAGGCGACCCTATCTCGCCATATCTTTTTGTCTTGGCTATGGAGAGGCTGACCCACCCTATCTCTCTTAAAGTGGATTCAGGTGCGTGGCGTCCGATATCGCTAGGCCGTGGGGCAGTGACTGTTCCGTATTTGATGTTCGCAGATGATTTATTGTTATTCATGGAAGCTTCCTCCGATCAAGTGGATGTGCTTAATGAGGTGTTATCGGTATTTTGTGATGCCTCGGGGTTGAAGGTCAGTGGGGCTAAAACGAGCATATTCTTTTCCTCGAATGTGGAGGAACAGGTCAAGCAGCACCTAGCCTAACGCACTGGATACCAGCGGGTGGAGAACCTGGGTAAATACCTAGGTATGCCCATCATTCACGGACGTGTTACGAAGCGAACCTATGAGGGGATTCTGGAGAAGGCGGAGCAGCGGCTGGCTGGGTGGAAATCTACGTTACTGTCATTGGCGGGTAGGGTCACATTAGCCCAGGCGATGGTGAGTAGTTTGCCTTATTACTCCATGCAAAAAGCTTGGATCCCGTCAGCGGTCTGTGAGGGCCTGGAGAAGTGTTGTCGTCGTTTTGTGTGGGGTGGCTCAACTAATACACAAAAAATTCACCTTGTTAATTGGATTTGGAGCTCTTTGTGTTCGCCTAAAGAGAATGGCGGATTGGGATTAAAAAACCAGAGGCGTATGAACATAGCTCTTCTCATGAAGCTCGCTTGGGGTTTATTAAGCAGACTTGAGTCGCTATGGGTGCGTGTCTTATGCGCCAAGTATAAGATCCAACCGAACGCTTCGCCGATGAATTTCAATTGCGCGTCGGGGTCCGTGGTCATGCGTGCAATTGCAAGAGTCTGGCCGCATGTTGTCAAGGGGTCCAGATGGTCCTTAGGGGACGGTTCTAATGTTCGGTTTTGGTGGGACAATTGGCTTAATCTCTCGGAGGCTTTAATTCACCGCATTCGGGTCGTAATACCAGAGGAACAATTATCATGGACCGTCTCCAAGTACGTGACTGCCGCGGGGCAATGGAATTAGACGAGCTTCTCCTCCTTGCTCCGGCCTTCTGATCTCCTTGGAATATCGGCAATTCTGTCCCCCCAGGTGAGTGCTGGTCGCGACCATTTGTTTTGGGGTTGGTCATCGAATGGAAAATTCACGACCCGCTCAGCGTATACTTCTCTAGTCTCTTCGGAACAAGTCCCGAAGTGCCGCATTTGGAAGCTGATATGGGGTTGGGTTGGCCCACAATGCGTTAAACAGTTCCTATGGCTAGCTGCGAGAGAAAGGTTGTTGACTAACGAAGAGCGATCTCAACGTCATTTGGTGGATAGCCCGCTGTGTGCCGTGTGTAAGTCCAAGCCGGAAACTACTCTCCATGTGCTGCGCGACTGTGAGTTCTCGTTCCTTTTCTGGAAGAAGTCGCTCCCACGATTGCGTTGGGCTGAATTTTTTGGTCTCGATTTTAGCTCGTGGCTGGAGTCGAATTTGTCTAATACATGGGCGAGCTCTACTGAGAACTGGGATTGTTATTTTGGTGTCGGTGTGTGGAGCCTTTGGAATGGGCAGAATAAGTATATTTTTCAAAATTCCGAGCCTGTGCTTGATAGAAAGCTTCATGAAGTCCGTCGGTTCGTCGAGTCATTACAGATCGCGGATTCCGGCATGCTGTAGCTTGGGCATCGTCGGCCTCTCCGAAGGGAGTGTATGATTTGCTGGGAGCTGCCAGACCCGGGCTGGATCAAGAGCAATACGAATGGTGCCTTTAATACTTCTACGGGCATGGCGAGTGCGGCTGGGTTGCTACGGGACCACAACGGTAGGTTTCTAGGTGGCTTCATTATGAATGTTGGATTTAGCTCTATTATGGGCGCGGAGTTATGAGGGTTGTTTCAGGGATTGATGTTGGCTTGAGACTTGGGGTATCGACGAGTTATAGCTGATGTGAGTAAGGTGGTAGCGGATGCGGTGAATGGACATGATGAGGCAGAAGGGGTGCACTGTAGTCTAGTTCGGGCTATGAAGGAGTTGGTGCATCGAGATTGGGAGGTGATTGTTCGACATGTCTATCGTGAATCAAACTTTTCGGCTGATTATTTGGCCTCATTAGCTGCGACTAACTCGGGTGGGCTGCAACATTTGGAATTTTCGCCAGTTGGCTTGATACCATGGCTTGAGCATGATGTTGTCGGAGTGGCTTATGATCGTAGGGTGCCTTGTTGAGTTCCCCTCCCCCAGTGTAACAAAAAAAAAAAAGATAAATAAGGATAAAAGTTACTTAATAAGAACATTGGGTAAATGAAGGTTAAAATTTATATGGGCTGTCGAGGCTTCATCATTCATTATTGCCAATGTCGGCCCAGTCCTACAAATTATTACTTTTCAGAAAACTTAGGTCAAGTTATATATTTTCATTAATCATAAAATAATATTCATAAAATAAAATAAAATTATTTACTGGATTATGATTTACTGAATTTCAGGTCTAATTGGAACTATAGTGCTACAGCTCCTTTATAACTATATATCATTCGGGCTAAATCTCGGGCCAAATCAGGTAAAAAAAATATATATTTTTAAAAAAAAAAATTACAACGCCGAATATTTTGCTGCTCCGACCTCCCACCTCCGATCAAGGACTCGGCGGCCGACGGTAGTCCTGAGGTTTTTCCACCTCGATTTTTGTAGGTATACAATCTGTGTGGTGATTATGGTTTGAATTTTTGTTGTTTGATGTTGATGTTTTCTACGTGATACATGTAAATTCGTGTCGTTTCATTTTTCATCTTATAAATGATATGATTTTCCAAAACCCTAATTGAACCCTTTTTGATGATTGATTGTTGGTGATATTGGGTTGATCGTGGCTGGGGTTTACGAATTAGAACTTTGTATTGTAGATCACGTTTTTGGCTTAGATTTTGTTTAGCTGTAATTGCTGACAAAGTTAAGTTTGCACTTCATTAGAGCTGGCTTGTGATGTATTTTACTTGAAGATTGTAGGTTGTATGAAGTTCATGGCTTTGAATCTGAGCATGGGATTACAAATTCATTGAATGCCCTGAAAGTTAGTGTTAGTTTGGTTAGTTCAGTTGAGTTGATAATTTTACCCGTAAATCTGCAGGAGAATTTCTGCGATAGGTACAATTAACTCTGAGAATCTGATTTATTCTACGTTTAAGAGGTGGACACGGTGTAATTTGATATTGGCCTAGCTGTTAGTTAACTCAAAATGCCGGACGACAGCGTAACTGTACTTCATTTACGAACTTGGTAGCTTATTGAGACTTGTCTTGTGAGCGACCTTACTAATGTATCTTATATATATATTTTTTTATCTTGATTTAACAAGTTGCGAAAAATTCTAGTCTTATAATAAATGGTCTTGTTGCCCTAGAGTCGATTTTAATAATTCGACTTCTGTTATTGTAATCTTTTTTTGGTTTGGCCAGCATATTATGAAGTTATTCTGGAACAATATACTCTTTCCACTGCATGATACTATATTTAAAAAAGCTAACATAAATATTTTCGGCTTCAGGAATCAACTGGCGCATGCATATAATTATTGTCTGTTTAGATGCAAAAGTCACTTCAAGATATCTATTGCGTAGCTTTTCCGAGTCTCTTAATTGCTTTATTTAATCATTATTTTTTCTGCGTGTGCTCTAGATTTGTGACTTAGTTTCGAATTACATTCATCCATTTTCGAGGCTGGATTCTGTATTTGCAGGTCTTTCATTATCCTGTCGTCCTATTCAGTACTTAAAGCAGTAGTTTTGATGTTTATGCTTTGAAGTGATTCAGCATTGCCATGCACAGTTGTGTTAACTGGTTTTCCAACGCGGATACTGTGTGGAAACTGATTCCATGTCTGCATCAAGCAAATTTGATCTCTCTTCCGGTAGCCCTGATAGGCCGTTATATGCGTCTGGAAATCGTGGATCCTATGGTACCCCTTCACTGGACAGATCAGGTAGCTTCCGTGAAAACATGGAGAATCCTCTTTTGTCGAGTCTCCCTAACATGACGAGGACTAGTTCTTCTGTAACTCAAGGGGATGTGGTCAACTTCTTTCAATGTGTGCGTATCGATCCAAAGTCTATGGTGGTAGATCATAAGTTGAATCGGCCAGCAGAATTCAAGCGACTAGCAAGTGCTGCAGTTGGTATTCCACTGGAAGATTCTCGACCTGCGTCTTCAAAAGGAAAACAGCTGTCCACCCCCTCACTAGAGGATCTCAGACGACTCAAATCTGGTGTGCGGGAAAGTGGTACCAAAGCTAGGTAATATATTTCTCAGTTATTTTCTTGTGTCTTTCCTCTTTCCCGGGTTAAATGATGGGCATATTGTTGCGACCACAATAGGGAACGTGTGAAGATATTCAATGACTGTTTATCGGTAATTAACAAGTGTTTCCCGGCTATTCCATCGAAGAAGAGATCCCGACTTGATGCCTTGTCTAATGATCGATCCAACACCTTGTTGTCAATTGATCGGTCTGCATCTGGAATGAATGTTGGGAAAATGGCCTCTCAGAATCATTTAAGTACAAGTGGTTTTGAGGTGGAGCTACAGAAACCTGAAGAAAGGGCCAAAGGTGCTATTCCAAGCAAGCGGACTAGAACTTCTCTGGTCGATGCAAGGGTTTGCTTCTTTCTTTTTCCATTTATTCTTTTTCTTGTATTTTGTTTCACTATTTGTCAATTGATTGCATAATGTAACTTTCTTCATGCCTATGGGCAGAGCTGGTGTTCTGCTGTAGTTAAGCTTTTCTTGTCCCTTTTTCTCTTTGTTCTCTTTCAGCCTCATATTTAAATTTTAGGGAACTGACATTTATGACGTCCATAATAAGCCGCGAAGGCCCATTTGAAATTAAACTTTCTGCACAAAATTAGAATTTTTTCTCTCTTTAGTTTTATTTCCCTGTCAATCTTGTTGTATACTCCTTTTTTCAAATTCACACTGTTACACCTTTTTATGAAGGTTTGACTATGTTTTTCTTAACTCATAGATGGACGCACGTGCAAATAACCCTTCAAGGCCATCTGGAAGTGTGGATAAAGACAGGGATATAGTGGGATTCTCTAATGGTAGTGCAGCTCAGAGTGACGATCGATCTTTATCAGTGGCCATTGATGGTTGGGAAAATTCAAAAATGAAGAAAAAGCGAACTGGTATAAAACTAGATTTGGCTAGTAGTTCGATGGTGGCAAAAGCAGTTGATGGTTACAGAGAACCTAAACAAGGAATGCATTTGCGGCTTACCACTGAACCCCGTTCAAGGTCGATTGATGCCCACGGCTTCAGGTATTACTCTTATAACTAAGTGTATTTGGTGGATGATGCTGCTCTTAGAGTCAAATACCTTTCTAAGATTTTGGATTTCGTTGTCGATCTGCATGTACGATCAACCTGTTTATGAATAACTTTGTGCTGTCATACTTATTCTTTTGGTGGTAATGTGTTATCTGTAGTTACTTGTTTGACAAGAGACCTTATCATATTACACGTTGGTTGGAAGAAGTTGATCACATCATTCCTTTCTTTTTTCCCCCTTCTGTTCTCTGTTTTGTTGGTGAAAATATTCATTGTTAAAACAAATTTTGATACATACAACTCATTTTCTTATGTAACTCGATATTGCCCTTTTACGTAGATCTGGTACTAATAGTGGAGGTCAGGGAATAGGAAAAGCGGAAGCCACCCTTCAAACTAGCTCAGGCATGCGAACATTGAGGACTGACTTTGATAACACATCCGTTCCTCATGAGAGGAGGGAGCGTCCAATTGGTCAAGATAAAGAAAGAGTTAACCTGAAAGCTGTGAACAAGTATGAGTATCTTTTTTAGTTTCTCTTGAATATTTCCGAGTTTAGATGATGGTTAATTTGATAAAATTATGAGGGTTTGCACCATATTTTGCCTATCTTTTTGAACTTTTAAATATTCTTTTAGTCATTGAATGCAAAGATAGTGAGTATTAGCTGCAACCCATTAACTATGAAACTGATTAATATGTCTGACAAGAATCAGATTACTTCGACATTGAGTTGTAACACTTAATGTTTACTGAAATTTGTTGCTAGTTTTATTTTGTGTCGTTATATTGCAGGGTAAAATGTGCCCATATAAGCTTTCTTGATAAAGAAAAGTATGAGGTGTTTTTTTGGCGAACCTTAATCTATCCAAGAACTTTTGTTCATATGTGTAGAGTACTGGAGAAATTCTGCCTCAAGAAAGATTTAGTTAATCAGAATAATGAATAAGAGCTGCTAACGTGATTTATGAGCGGCATATGCTCCTTTCCCATGGAGTCATTAATACTTATTCTTGTTCGTGGTCTAGCTTCACAACATAGTATAGTCTTAGAAGTATTCAAAGAGTTCGATGTTGCGGAAGGAAAAACTTGTATCTCACTTTGCTATTCTTGTGTGTGTGCGCGTCTATCTGTGTGTATTCTGTCCTATGTTCACTTTACCTTATTTTGTTATTTGCTGTTGGATAATCTCTCATTTTGAATCTTTTGGATTTCCAAGGGCGAATTCTCGGGAAGATTTAAGCTCAGGCAGCCCTACTTCAGGCTCAAAGTTGAATGCAAATGTTCGCGCCCCTCGCTCAGGCCCCGTTGGTGGTGCGTCCAAGTTGTCCCATGTGGTGCAGCGGTCTACATCATCTAATGATTGGGAATTTTCTAATTGCATAAACAAAACTTCTGGTGGCGTTGGGACAAACAGTCGCAAACGGACACCTTCTGCACGGGCTTCTTCTCCTGTTGTCAGCTGGGCTCAAAGGCCGCAAAAGAGTTCTCGAACTGCAAGGAGAACTAATTTGTTGTCCATTGTTCCTAGCAATGATGAGAATCCTGTTCTAGATGCCACATCCGACAAGATGGCTGAAAGGCGCTTTCCTGCCAGTTCTCCTCAGCGAGTCAAAATAAAGAGCGATAATTTCTCTCCAGCTGCATTATCCGAGAGTGAGGAATCAGGTGCTGCTGAAATCAAGTCTAGAGACAAGAATAATAATTGTGATGAGACAGATGAAAAAAGTGGGCAGAATGTCCAGAAGATGTCAACACTGCTGCTACCCCCAAGAAAAAATAAGGCAGTCAATGGAGATGACCATGGAGATGGTATCAGGAAGCAAGGCAGAAACGGTCGAGGATATACTTCCTCTAGGTCCCTTTTACCTTCAACAGTCGAAAAGCATGGGGATGAGGGAACAACTAAACAAATTAGAAGTTCTAGACTAGCTCTTGACAAGAGTGAAAGGTATAAAGAAATCTCATTTCGTGTTTTATACATGGTCATCTTAAACTTCTGTCTGCTCTCTTGCTGACATAGGCTTATATACTAAGATCTTCTCTATCATGCTTCTTTCAGCAGAGTGGGTCGGCCACCTGTAAGAAAACTCTCTGATAGGAAGCCTTATACACGACAAAAGCATGTCACTGTCAATGCTGGACCAGATTTTCTTGGTAATTTACTTATTAATATTTAAATGAGTCCGAAGAATTTTGATTTTTGCAGTTCCTTTGTTTAATTGCTTCCCCCTGATCTCTGCTTCTTGGGTGTATATACATCTATATCTATATCACATAACAGTTGGTTCTGATGATGGTCTTGAAGAGCTCTTGGCTGCCGCAAATGCTGTTACAGACACTGGTATATTTATTTGGATCTTAAGAGCCTGCCATTTCCATTTTATCCTCAATTTCATATTTCCGCTATATCAAGGGTTGGAATAATTTATATATAGTTTTACCGTTAATAATAGAAATATGTTTTGATAACTTTCTGGAAAGTATTGTCCATGTCGGTTAAAAATTAAGAGAAATGCTATAGGTACATAATATTGTACATAGGGGTGTACATAACACTCACATTTAGTGGAACCCACCAAAAATAAAAAATCAGTGGACCCCACTCCATGTGAGTGTTATGTACACATCTATGTACATTTATTTATTATGTACTTGTAGCGTTCTCCAAAAATTATAACATACATGCTTTATGTTTTCTACGTGTAAAAATATGTCATTGTGCATTCGATAATGGTATTAATGGGCAGTATATTTTTATACATAAATAATAGTTTAATACAAAAACTGGTAGTCTTGGCCCATTCGTAGCCTTTGTGTATTAAATAATACTATTTTCTGGAAATTTAGTGGAAAAATGGTAGTTTAAGCACATCAATACTATGTTAATGGAAATGAAGAAAATAATATTAATAAATCTGGCACTGGATTTTACAAAACATTAAATATGTGGATCCGTCACATCTATATAATGTGTATGTAATTAAAGATAATACTATTATTAAATCTGGCACAGGATTTAAAAAATTCACTAATTATGTGGATCTTATTTAATAAATATGAAAAGCATTTAAAATGAATATATTGAAATGAGGCTAGAATAAATGTATCACTACCGTTGTCGCTATTGTTGATCATGTGAATAACCTTTATTTTGGCGTGTAATTTTAGCCTGGTAATAATCAGCCGAAATTCGAATGGTGTTAAATTAATGCAGCTCAAGCCCTCTCTAGCCCGTTTTGGAAGATGATGGAGCCTGTATTTCGTGTCATATCTGATGCGGACTTAACCTTTTTGAAAGACCAGGTGGAGTTTATATATCCTGATACATCTATTCACTATTGACTTTACTTACTGATAAACGGCTTGTTACATAGTAATAAAATTGTAGTTAATGCCACCTTATGTTAAAGTAATCTGTAAAAATCGTTGTTGTATTTAATAAGAAATACTCGATTGGTTGGAATGTTTCTGTTTTGTTTTATCTGATGTAAGATATCCTACTTGAAAATGACCGGATAGAGTTTCTCAGGGATGTCTTCTTACGTTATGGCCTTTTTTAAAAATACCACATATTAATTTTTGTATTTAATTATGGATGTGACCTTTAGTGTGCTAGCATTTGTGGGAGCAGTAAACTTATGTGTCCCCAAAATAATCAGTATCAGCCCATCACTCATCAATGCAAGAAATACATGTATTGCTGTGAAAATTAAAATTCATTTTCAGGTCTCGTCTTTGTCTTGGATCTAATGTGATACATTTGTGCATCTAAACATTGGAATACTTCCAGGATTCACAGAAGCCATTTCTGTGTACTCTTTTCTGTTTAGTGATACACACTTCAAACTCATAGAAAAACTCTGCTGAATGTTTTGATGCATCCTTTTGTGATGTCTTGATGTTCATACGTAAGCAATAGTTGCTCTCTTTTCTTTTGATAGAGACTGAGAAAGTGGAGAATTTACTCAAGGGAATGAAAAGATGGAAGTAATAAAATCAGTGTGCAATATTGGAAGTCATGGGATTAGCTGGAGTCCTGGAATCCTGGTCTTTTGGGAATGAAAGCTATCAAATCGTTATCGTACTTCTTATTTATTATTTTATGACCTTATATAAATAAAAATCTTATAAAAGGGAGTGGGGAATTGAAGATTTAGGCATCAAGGTAAATAATATTGTTTATCTTCTTTTAGCTTGCGAAGGAGATTATTTTCGAGGAGAACATCGTGTTCTATTTTAATTTTCTGCACAATAATATTTAGTTATTTACATTGACCCTTTACACCTAACAGATTTGCAGTTAGCCATTACCTCTTATTGGTAAATGTTTGGATGTAGAACTTCTGGCGTGAAATACTTTTAACACGGTTCTCCTGACGACTGCTGAAATAGTTAATTGTAGTAGTGAATTTTATGCACAAGATACTATCTCGAATGTGGTGTATTAGTGTATCTTAATCCCATGTTTTTCCTTTTAGGTTAATCCTGGTTTAGCTGTGGATACACCAGCTCCTGCCCCTCATGATGCCGGTAGTTGCACTTTACTACCTAATGGGTGTGGATCAAATGGATTTGCGCAAGAGGAAACTGAAGCAAGAAGTGTGGAACTTAGCCCAGAACATCTAGCATTAGAAGCAAAATCGCCAAATGAGATCTCCCTGTATCAGAGGCTAATTGCAGCTTTGATTCCTGAAGAAGGAAATGAGGTCCCTGGTGATAAAGATACCTTAAGATATGATGTTTATGTATCTCATTTTGAAATGGAAAAGGATATAGAATCTGATACATTATGCTCACAGATCTCACTGAGCCCTTCGGGATATCCTATGTCAAATGGTTATGATGAAAATTATAATGGGAGATCACTCTATGAGCTGGAGCACAGTACTGTCTCCACGCCAGACACAAGGGTTCAAAGCTATGATCATTTACAAACTGGTTTACATACAGACCAGTCGATACCTGGCCCAATATGTTCGGACTATCAATATTATAATTTGCCAATAAATGAAAGACTTCTCTTAGAGATTCACAACATAGGAATCTACCCAGATCTAGTGGTATGCTGTATTCTTTTCTTGGAAACTTTGTTACACTACTGTTATTGTTTGTAGACTTTTGAGTTTTGACCAATGTGTTCTGACAGAGTGGCGATGAGGAAATAAGTGAAGATATCAATAGTTTGGACGAGAAGTATCAGGAACAGGTAAGATGTGATTCCAGTCTTGCAGGTATTTTGTCCAAGTCATAAGGGAAAGTAGGAAGCTATTGCTCCTGCACATGTGTCACCTCTCTCTCTCTCTCTATATATATATATATTGATGTACATCTACACACATACACATACACAACACACCAAAAATGAAACAACTAAAGAAACTGTCAAACGTCTTTAAGGGCTCACACACTGAGCTTCTCTCTTGCTCTACACACACACACACACACAGACACAAACACACCCCTATATCACCTTTCTGTATACACACACACACAATACACCGAAAAAAAATATCTGAAGGAACTGTCAAACGTCTTTAAATGGCATATGGACGAAATCGTTGAGCCATCAGATGTGTCCTATTTTGTATGAGTATATTAGGAGTGTTGATTGAGATCTCCAGCTAGAACACTCTTTTGTTCTGATGGAGATGACAGTGTGTACTTCCTCTGTATCCATTAAATGATATTTGATTTGCACACACCCCTATATCACCTTTCTCTGTATACACACACACACACACAATACACCTAAAAAAAATATCTGAAGGAACTGTCAAACGTCTTTAAATGTCATATGGACGAAATCGTCGAGCCATCAGATGTGTCCTATTTTGTATGAGTATATTAGGAGTGTTGATTGAGATCTCCAGCTAGAACACTCTTTTGTTCTGGTGGAGATGACAGTGTGTACTTCGTCTGTATCCATTAAACGATATTTGATTTGCACTGTTCTGGATTATTGTGAAAAATCATAAAGACTGAAGAGCTTTTTCTTCTAAAGTTCATCTTATGTTCTTCCTACCGAAGAGGTTATATTGACAAATGTAGATCTGATCAAGAGTTAAAATAACCATTAATTTGGATGCTTTAGTAAAATGTGTTTAGTTAAGCTTCTGAATTGTACTTTTGTTAGCATTCTTTCTCATTATTAAGTCAATGCTCAGGTTTCAAGGAAGAAAAGCTTCATTAGCAAACTTTTGAGTTCTGTTTCCGAAGCTAAAGAGCTGCAGGAAAAGTAAGAAGTCTCTTTTGCATATGCAACTGTCAATATAAATCTGTGGGCAACCTTTTCGTCCTCATTATAACTTAGGTACCTCTTATGTTACAGGGACTTTGAAGGGCATGCTCTTGATAAGCTCGTTGGAATTGCCTACGAAAAATACATGGTAATTGTTAATGTTTGCTGGGTTTCTTACTCTTTCCATTAGTACATGCATATACGAAGGTGAAGGTGTATGCATCTTTTCTACATTGTGATACACGAATGCTTATTTCCTCTACGGACAGAATAACAACACTTGAATACTTCACCTTACGATACTGTTTATTTTCAGAATACTCGTGAAAAAATTATGTTCCAAGTCCCTTCAAGTGCCAGTTTCTAGAAACTATATCAATGAGTACCAGGCTTGTGCAAATCATTCGAACAGTAACCAGATATCAGCAGTTGATGTGTTTTTTCTTACTATATAAAATGAATATGACGAGTTGCTGTTCAGGTAAAAAAGGAAATCCCACCCACCCACTCACTCCCAACCACCGACTTGAAAGCACACACATGGTAACTTTAGGAAATGAAATAGTTGAAGAAAAGAAACTATATAGGAAAAAGAGCATTTCTGAAGTTAATGATCACTTCAATTATTTTATGTTGTCAGTGGTATCTGTGTTAGTATATGTCCCTGCAGCGATTCAATAAAACATTGTAATAACAACTATCACAATTTTGCTTAATCTGAAGTTACATAATTAACTCATAATCACGTCAAAATATCATTTTAAACTACTTATGCGGAAGATGAGTATAAACGTTGCTGGTTGAACATATTTCTTTATCAAGTTGTTTTTTCCCACTGCAGAGTTGCTCGGTTCCTAACACTCAGGGGACGAAGAGTAACAGCATTAAAATTGCCAAGCAACAAGCTGCCTTAGTTTTTGTTAAACAAACATTGGAACGGTACCAGGAATTTCTGGTTACAAGAAAAAGTTGCTTTGATGATCCTATGTACAGGGACATATTCCTCGCTGGGGTCTCGCGTCTTGTTGATGGACAGCCTCTGAATTCCAGCACAGACAACGAGTCTAACAAACTCAATTTTGGCATCTCTGGCTGCTCTATGGAAGTTAGGACTTCAGGTACATGACAAAGATGAACTAAGTGATGGCTAATCAGAATTTGTTTCTGTTAGGGGTGCTATCGCCACATTTCTGCTTTTCCCTCATATATTTCTCATTTGGATTATACTGCTTTTTGGGATGTTTTATCAGGAAAAATGTCAAAATTACCAAAGTTTTAAGCTAAATGATATTTAGACACGTGTAGTCAACAAAAGTACACTGAGATTTCATAACATTTCTTTATTGTTTCAAGATGTTCTTATTTGTTTTTTTAGTACTTTTGAGAATAACGCAAAAACAATGCAGAAACAAATACAAATACAAATATATAAATAGCAAGGAACAAGATGGGAACCAGGAAACAAAATTTTTAAAAAAATGTCAAAATCAACCTACAAATGTTCAGACCAATGTAAACAAATGCCCAGACATGGTAAAATGATATTTTTTGCCAAAAACTTGATTCCTCTCTATCCCTTTCTCATCGCGATTATTAATATTATTATTGTTGTTGTTGTTGTCGTTGTGCAGCTCCTCTGGGCACACAGCAGAGCCCCATGTCAAACAATCAGGATACATATTCATTTGAAGCCTTTCCATCAGCAAACATGGGCTCTGAACAAATTACTGGTATTGAAGATGGCTGGTCAAATAAAGTGAAAAGAAGGGAGTTGTTGCTTGATGATGTTGGTGGAACGAGCAGCAGAGCCCCGGGTCTTCCGCACGGGCTTGGTGGTTCCCTTTCATGCAGTGCAAAGGGTAAAAGAAGCGAGAGGGACAGAGAAGGAAAGGGTAACAGTTTAGGCAGAAGCGGAACTGGTAAAATTGGCCGCCCGGCAAACTCTGCTAAAGGAGAGAGAAAGTCCAAGGCGAAACCTAAGCAGAAAACAACTCATTTGTCTGCTTCTGTCAATGGTCCTTTAGGGAAAATGGCTGACCAGCCAAAAAGAGTGTTCTCACCATCCCTCAACTCAAATGAGGTTGGCGGAAGTGAAAATACCAACAGTAATGACTATAACTCGGAGATGTTGGAAGAGCCCATTGATTTATCGGGCTTGCAACTCCCTGAGATGGATGATTTAGGCGTTCCTGATGATCTTGGTGGTCAAGGAGAGGATATAGGGTCTTGGTTGAATATCGAGGATGATGGATTGCATGATCATGATTTTATGGGTGGCCTTGGAATCCCAATGGATGACCTGTCAGACTTAAATATGATGGTTTGAGACTGCAGTGTTGTATATTTTTTTTAACCTTTACTGTCACAGAAGAAAAAAGAGGAAAGAAAAGAAAAGAGGATTTACTGTCATGGACGGGTCCCAGTTTGAGGGAGTTCGTGTTATTTTTCAGACTTCAGAGTATTGTTAGGCTGTCATATTCTTTAGGTTAAAGCCCTGGTCAAGTTGTTTTGGAGCGAATATATTCATGCAAGGACGCTTGTTAGTGTTTGAGTTTTGACTGTAAAGATCATTTTGTTTGATGTGTGAGCTCATATCTTAGGATTAAGATCTTAGTGAAAACTGTATTTTGGTCCTAGCAAATACAAATAGCGAACGGTGCTTCTTGTACATAAACTTTATATTTCAATAAAATCATGCTCTTTCCATTCAAGCGCTGCTGTTGTAGGAGCCAGTACAGGTTGCCTACTTTTTAAGTGGTCCATCTTCGAGTACCATATAGTTCAAATCTATTACTGGTGACTAGTTCAATATTTCAATCCAGTTTTTTATATTATCAATACTGTTTGATCATAGGTGATGGAGAAGCTATGGTGGTTTTCATCGAATTGTTGTTACCCTGAGGATTAAGTGGTCAAGGTAAAAGAAGGTGATATTACATGGGATGCGAAATTTCCAAGTGGTTTTTCATCCGCAGGTCATCTCTCATTATTAACTGATGAGCACGGTAAAGTTTATGTTCAGTTTCTCTTAAACATGCCAATCAATCTATGCCGTGCCGTGTCTTTATTGTCAATTGCTGTTTTGAACTGAACCTGTATGCATCCAAAACTCAACACTAGCTGGACATGCATTCCCCTGAGAAGACAGCCTTCTTTTTGTAGCTTCCATTTTGAAATATTTCGTAGGTTTGAAAAAATTCTACAGGATGCCTGTTTTACTTGAAGCACACGTTACAGCTCTCGTATATGAGTTGCCTTTTTTGGAGCCAGCTACGTATGTTGTTCCAACAATTTTTAGTTTGTCATAGTTTGGAGCAGGCTACATATCTTCCGGTAGGAATTAATTTATCTATTTAGCCTCAATCGATCATTCGATTTTCCATCTGTTTGCTGTACTTGTATTGTTACCTTGTGCTGAATCTATCTTGACCTTTAGTTTTGTCTGTTTATGCCCCTTAAGTTCACCTCGGTTTCGAGGGATGGCACCATACTTGTTATTCTTTTGGATCCCACCTTATATCTTACTAGGTTGAAAACAGTTACTCATATATATATGGGACTTTGGTGGCTCGGTTTTGCTATGGAGTCATCGGATGACTCGACTTATGGAGTCATTCATTGTTATTCACAAATTATGTATTGGCATGTGTCCTATAATAAATGTACATTGGACATGCGTCAGTACATAAAGTTATGAATAGTTCTATAAGAGAGTCGATGACTCTAGAATTTCTGCTTTGGTGATCACACCAAACGAATGTATCACCCCAAATGAATGTATCGATGAATTAGCAAACAATTGTACTTGCATGAGTTGCTTTAGTGCATAATCGTATTAAAAAGTTCTATATTTCATGAGATTATTATCCTATGCACTAACTCAATTATAGAACATTGCATATATACTAAGAAAATATTTTATTAGTAAAGGACAACCACCAAATTATTTGTAAATATACAATGTATACACATAAACATTATTTACCTTTTTCTTTTTCTTTATCTTTATCCGTTTTCTTTTCCCTTTTCATTTCTCTTCTTCTCCCTTTATTTCTTGTTTTTCTAGACATGCACCACACCTAACACACGTAATTTCTCTTCATTTTCTTATGTTATCCTCGTGTTTTTCTTCCTCGATGATTTATTCTCCAAAATCCTCTTCCCCAAATCCTTCTCGTGTAACTCCAAGTCTGGCGGTGATGGCCACGACCGACAGCTTGGCTCGAGAAGGCAACAAGTAGTAGATGCTGTTTGTGACCGGTAGAGAGCGGCGAGCAGCGGCAACTCCGAGCATCAGCAATTGCGGCAGTGGATTAAAATAATATTTAGAATTAAATAATTAAAGTTGATTTAATGTAAAAGTATGAGAGAAAAAGTGATGGTTAATTAAAATGATGTGAGTGGGTGAATAATGAATTATAACTGATGTAATCTCACAATGGTTGAATGATTGATTGGTAGTATTAAATTATTTTTATAATATTAAAAATAATAGAATTAAATTCATAAAGTTAAATTAAAAAAAATTGATTGAATTAAAAAAGATTGTATTTTATCCAAAATGCAATGGTGAGAATCATACAAATAAGTTACTAAAACACAAGCTTCATTCACCGCTAACGTGAGCATCCACAATGTTTGGAGTTCAATTATAAAAAATTGTATGACACCTAAGAAATAGACGTAGTCTAAAAAAAATGTATTCTCCAATGCAAACAAAAGTAGACTGTGTCCTGCTGACGTGGCAGCCCAAAAAAGAGACTCGGTCTACCCTTAAGTCTATTTTATACCCAAGTAGAGATCTAGTCTCTTTGCATTGGAGTGGATTTTAGCAATTTTACACAATTTTATCCATGTCATCAAAGACTTGAGTTTATTTACATGCCACATAGACGACTAGACCCAATGCATTGTAGATGTTTTTAGCCACGAAAACCAAAAGGGCATTACTATTTACCGCCCCCTTTATTACTAATCACCGCCCCCCTTGGACGGTTTTGCCCTTTAGTACTCTCTCTCTCTACTCTCTCTCTCTCTACTTTTTCCCTCTCGATTTTCTACGGCTCTTTTAGCCGTAAAAAAAAAAAATTTAAAAATTACCAAAAAATACCATGACATCGGCAAGATATTGAAGATTGACCAAGTATTTTTTTTTTATATTTTTTCACTTTATAGATAATTTTTTAATTTTTTTTTTTATTTTTTTTTCGTGTCCGGCCGGACGCACCGGACACACCAATGGGTATCCGGCCGGACGGACCGGACACACCAATGGGTGTCCGGCCGGATGGACCGGACAAGTAATATAGCGTCCGGCCGGACACCAATGGGTGCGTCCGGTCCGTCCGGTCGGACACCCATTGGTGTGTCCGATCCGTCTGGCCGGACACCCCTTGGTGTGTCCGGTCCGCCCGGCCGGACGCGAAAAAGAAAAAAAAATTTAAAAATTATTTATAAAGTAAAAAAATATAAAAAAAAATACATAGTCAATCTTCAATATCTTGCCGATGTCATGGTATTTTTTTCGAATTTTTTCGAATTTTTTTTACGGTCAAAAGAGCCGTAAAAATTCGAAAAGAAACAAGTAGAGAGATAAAGTAGAGAGATAGTCATAAAGGCAAAAACGTAATTGAATAGAGACGGTGACTAATAAAAAGGAAGCGATAAATAGTAATTCACAAACCAAAAAGAAAGAAAGACAAAGATCCCACATAATAAAACACCGAAATATCAATGTATTCCCCCGCGTGGGTGTTTTTTGTGGTGGACATGTAGCTTTTTATCATTCTTTTTTATTTATTTATTTTAATTATTTCTTCGTTTTTTCGGCCGATAAAAAGGTTAGAAAAAGGAACCCATCTTCCCCCATTTGTTCTTGTTGTTTTTGTGCTGATAATGTTGGAAAAATCAGTTGTAAAACTTGGGTTTGACCCGGTTTTGACTGAATTTTTGATGGCTAAATATTTAATTTTAGTTGAATTAAATATTGTAGAAAAATTCTACGTTCCGAGTAGATACTCGTGGTATATTTATTTTCTCAAAACTGATTTTCGGTGAGTGAGAAATAAATTGTTAAAGTTAGCCATAAAAGGGCACGTAAAACGTTGGTTGTGGGATTTGAAGGATCAAGAGTTAATCCCACATTGGACTCTTAAATGAGTTTAACTCTCTTTATTATAATAAAGAGAGTTGGAGAGGTTACAACAAGCACAAAGCTATGCACCAAGTGTTGGT